GTTCGGCCTGGGCCTGCCTGAACCGCCGTGGTCCAGGCCCTTTTGAGCCTCATCTGAACCGGTGTCCCCTAGGCTAACCCTGCCTGTCTTGGAACCGGGCCCTAACTGGGGCCCGAGTGGCTCAGTATGCCACACCAGACCACCAAACGAAGCAGTACAAATAAAGAGGCAGCGATCAGTCATTCACTCATTATCTGGGGAACTACGTGGAAGTGCTGCTCGAGTGGACTCGTACGTTGAGTTCGCCGGTGGTCAGCAGGAAGCACGAAGGTGGAAGAGGGCGAGCGGCCATAGCTGCTAGCGAGGATGAAGCCGCCAGTGTGACGTAGTCAGTAGTTAGTGTTTGTGTGTGTGTATGTGTGTAGACATTCAGGGTAGATCCTAGTGCGTGTGTACGTGTGTGTGAGTGAGTGTGTCTGATGGTAAATACAGTGTTCAGGTGGGATCATCAGACTGGCGCTCAGACGCCATAGCCACAAGATGTGACAAGTTGATTTGAGCGAGTTCTTGGCCGAAGGCCATATCTCTGAGTTTTCCGTGTGGGTGCACTGCACCATCTCACGCTTGTTGCTGATTCCACTTGGAGGAAGTTGTTTTCGAGACAAGTCTGATTGCAAACAGAAGAAAATCTGAAAAAAAGAAGGAAGTTTCATATATGGTGACGTACCGAAAGCATTTGCTGCCATACTGGCATGCCGGTTTGATTGCCGCCAAGGACTGTCGTCGAGTGTTTCTTCCCTGCCTATGGTGGACTTCATCTTCAGTGTCATCTTCTCGTTCTTCGTCCTGTCCATCCTCATCTTCTTCCTTGTCGTCGTCATCTTCTTCTTCGTCGTCGTCATTGCTTGATTCCTTCCATTCTTCATCGGCTTCTGGCGAGTAGTCTTCATCATCATCCTTTGCCCGCTTTCTCACACGGTTGCCAATGATAGGGGAATGTGCACTTGCTCCACCAGTCCCACCCGCCCTACCACGGTTCTTAGCGACAGATGTACTGGGACTTCCGTGGTCATCTGTTCGACTTGGAGAACCACCGAATGCACCAGGTGCAGCATCTGATCCAACTGGTCGGAGACGTGAACCAGCCGGTTCAGTCGGTTCACCTGGCTGATGTAAGAAAGCGGAGCGATGGGGTTGCTCAATGCGTTCGCTTGTGGTGCTGCCATGCCGACCACCACCGGTGTCTGTCCGACCATGATGTTCCTCTTCTTCGTCACTGTCCTCCTCGTCACTTTCGCTTCGCTTTTTCTTTCCAATTCGCCAATCCCATGGCCGGCTCAAGCTTGCAATTCTCTTCTCATACTCGTCGAACTCGTGTCCTTCTACAATGATGCCAAATTCTGATGCAAATATTGTACAACAGAACAATTTCCAAACAAAAATCGACACACACACACACACACACACACAGAAACTGCACTTAGTTCACAACTTCACACTAGAAAGAATCTGAAAGATAGTAAATACTGAAAAGCATCACGTGCACAGATCAAGAAATGGACGTTTTTTTTAATATAATATATCGTCATATATATATCGTCACAAACAGAACTGCCCGGTAAACCGTAGGCAGAGAGAGAGAAGAGGACAACAAACGAGGGGCTGTGACAAACTGTTATATATATATAAAATTGTGAAGGTATGATCCCCCAGGATACCTGCAAGTGGCCTCTACAGCAAGCATGTGCCCGCCGTAAGTGAAGGCCGGCCACCGAATCTCAATTAGGGCTGAATTTGTCAATTTTGCAATGCCTTGGTGGGCGCCAGACAGTTACCTCGCGCCAGTTGGTTACTACTGCCCTGCTCGTGAGAATCAGAAATATTTGTGAGCCTTCTAGGCTCTTCCAGCAACGCAGGGGGAAGCAGGGAGCACCACACGTTTGCGCCTTGGTGGTTGGGCATGCCTAACCAATTCAGTCCCAGGCCACTATCTGAATGGGCCTGGGCACGGCAATTTGGCCCAACCTGAAGCTACTGGGCACACGCACGTCAAAGGCCAGGCAGCCAACAAGCCAGCCCACTTTGCATACGGCAAAACAGCAAAGTGCCTGGCCGAGGAGGAGGCATTCGGGCACTTATTAGTGCAGATGCCGCAGCGCTGCTGCGAGCATTCGCTCGCGCCTGCATGCTAGCGCTAGTGCCTGACACGAGCGCGGTCGCGAGTGTGAGGGCGCTGCAATCATGCAGCGCCATAGCCCAGCCCCGATAGCCGGGCTTGGGCTTGGAAGAAGGCTGGTGGAGGTTCCGCGGTGGTTCTTGGTTGGTGCACAGCCGTGGGAGGAGGCGACGAGGGTGAGCAAGAGAGGGCGAGTGAGGGAGATGGTGTGCCAGCACGTACCTGGTCTTGGCGGAGGTCTGCGTCATCGACATCTGGATCTACTTTGGTCGCTGCTGCTGACGTTAACTGGTTGCTTCGTCATTTCGTAGGCTAGTAGAGTAGCTGTGATGATTGTAGTCTGGGCGCCAGTCAGGACTAAGAGCGTCGAGTACATTGTTGATGTTGGCAAAAGAATGCTTTCATTGACATTTGAGTGGTGCTTTGGTTCTCCTTCGGTGTGATATCAGTGCAGTTCTGCTTTCTAGACAGCTTTCAACTATCTGGCTTTCAATGTGATTTTGTAATCTGGAATTCCGTCATTTCTCTATTGCTCATTTTCCTTGCAATTTGGTATCGGAGCTGGTTCGAGCCGCTCCACTGGCTCCATTGCAGTCACTGTTTGGTGCGTTACCAGGAATGATGAGGCAGTGATAATGCCTGCTTTGTCGCCCCAAACAGGATCCAGTCTTCTTCCCATTCAAAATTCCAGCTTTGCAGATCACGCCAATGACTCTCCCAACAGTCCCATATTCTTTTCGAGCTCGGGCAGGCCAGCCATAGGTGTGTTGTTTATTCAAACGGCCAGTGGAATTCAACAAAAGATTCCTCTCCAATCCTGCCTTAAACCACCAGTACTCGGCCCAGCTATCGCCCGTGCAAAAAAAATGAGTAGAAACGTGTCTAGTCGGATGAACGTTTCCTATAATCGTGCCTTGTTAACGGGCATGACTTTAGGAGTACTGGTGGTTTACATCACAAGTACACCACACATCCGCCCACGGGTGTCAACATGAGACCCACACCACTTCGGAGACCGCTGATTTTGTTTTGGGAATTTGAATGGGAAGAAGACTGGATCCTGTTTGGGGCGACAAAGCAGCAGTCACAAGGAACAGAAGTTTGGCACTATGCCGTGTTTGTAATCAGAGCAGTGATAATCTGGATTATCTGGGAAGAGAGGAACACAGAGGAATTCAACAAAAGATTCCTCTCCGATGCTGCCTTAAAGCACAAGTACGCCACACATCCGCCCACGGGTGTCAGCATGAAACCCGCACCGCACCACGTCGGAGGCTGCCGCTGCCGAGCAGCGCCTCCGAGTTTTGCTTGTGGCAACAAAAACTATCTGCAAGGCTGGGGACGTGTACTTGCGGTTTAAAGGCAAAGATCAAACAAAACATAGTCTTGGGCGTTAAAAGTGACTGGAGGGAAAAAAGTGACAAAATCACAAGACAAATTAGGGGGTACTGGATGGTTCCAGAATAACTGGGCCCAGGGAAAAGCGAGTGGCGGAAGCGAGCAAGAAGAGGATAGGCTACCGTCTTCACCCGAATAGAACGCCCAGTCATTATCGCTGCATCTGGACTGAAAGTGACGGCAAATACAGCTATAATGACCAGGCGTTCTATTCGGGTGAGAAGACAGTAGTGGTGGCTAAGTGGCTTTTTGCCGCTTAGTTAGGACCTGGACACTAGACACTAGGTCCTCTTTTCGTCGGAGAAAGGCAGCAGAACGTGGGAAGTGGGGCAGGAAAGAGGATCTTTGGTAGGAGGACCCCTGTTAGGTTCCCAGGGCCCGAGTTTGTTTGGGCCAGGTAAAGTAGTTGATTAGGCAGATATAGTGTAGTTGTCATCCCCTGGACCTCTAAGGTCCACAGAGCAATTTTAGGACTTCGTATGTATTAGGGAACCATCCTATACTACCTTCTTCCGCCGAATACAACGTACGGTCCTCATTGCTGTATTTACACTGAAAACTGCCCCAAATACAACTATGATGACTGTACATTGTATTCGGGTGAAGAAGGTACTAGTAGGTAGGCTGGTAGATTAGGGTACCAATAGGGTCAGCAGCCGGTTCCCTATACTACCTTCTTCCCCACAATACAACGTACGGTCCTCATTGCTGTATTTACACCGAAAACTGCTCCAAATACAACTATGATGACTGTACGTTGTATTCGGGTGAAGAAGGTACTAGTAGGTAGGCTGGTAGATTAGGGTACCAATAGGATCAGCAGCCGTCGAGCTGCATGGGGCTAAGACAAACAAGTCCCACAGGCACACGCCTGTAAGCTAAGCTGGATGATGTTTCCAGATATCATTCCGGGTGTAATCTCAGTCCCCGGCCTCTATGCTGAATTTTGAAATGGAATTTGAATTTTGATAAAAGAAAGAAAGAAAAAAAGATATCATATGACCAGCCCTATGTAACTTAGAGTTGTAATACAACTCTTTTTTTCAGTGGAATTCGAATTCAGGTCTGCATTTCTACAGTTCGTGGGTGTACCAGCTGAGAAAGGCCAGTTGGTAGCTGTGCCTCCCTTTTTATCTTCCCCACCTCCCATCGAGTAACAGCAGGACCCACAGGGAAAAATCGTGGAAAAACCGGTGTGGAAACACTTTTCTCGGACTCCATTGGACATATCAGGCCCTCCGGAAAGCCTATTTTAGGAGGGCGGGCCCGTTGGGACGTTTTCCGGGCCCCCACCGCCTGGAAAACGGTAGCTGGAAATCCAAGATTTTATGTTCTCAAAAAAGTGCCACGGGAGGAGTTTCCGCCGGAAATTTGTGCCCTTCCCAGAGAGTAGGGGGGGTGGCATGTCCTTCCTTGGAAACTTGTCGCCTACGAGCGGACAACCGAAACAGGAACAAAACCCCTTCGAACGGACATCAGCAACCTTTATCCGGTCCATCTCCAGTTTCCAGCCTTTCCAGGCTCGTGGAAACTGGCTTTTCCAGCCTCTCGTGGCGTCCCGTCGTTCCGCAGGCAAACTCTTCCAGACACCCTTCCATGGAAACCCCAAAATCGTCACTTTTCCAACACTTTCCCTGTGGGGTCCAGGCCTAAGCCCAATACTCTCCCACACACCACACGCAACCCACTCCCACTCCCACTCACACTCGTGTTGGCCAAGGACCCTGCTAATGCCACCCAGGGGGTCAAGCTGACTATCTCAGCTGGTTGGCAACAAGGGTGCCCCAGCCAATCACGGGAATTGAACCCAACACAAGGGACGCTGCACCCTTTTTCCAGCAGGTAACGCTCCCCATCAATAGATGAAGCCTCTGTTTTGTTTAAAAAAAAAAGGGGGGGGAATTGAACCCACTACCTCCTTTTTTTTTTTTTCTTTTTTTTTTTGTACCAGTACTACCCACTACCTCCTTTTTTTTTTTTTTTTTTTTTTTTTTTAGTTCCCATTTTCTCCTCAATGCCACTCGCGTGCCTAACCAGCTGAGCTAAGCTGCTTGATTATCTTTCTTCTATTTTATTACGTAAAGAAACGGGAGTGCTGACTATCTCACCTGGGGCGAGGTCCCAGTAGCAAAGACGATTGGATTGAACACCTGAATCTGGACTTGTTTGTAGAAAGGCGCAGAATGTCGAGATTGAACTGCCTTTTCGCATCTCTGCTTAAAACACGTCCAAATTCAGAATATTTATCCGACCCTCTTTGGTAGTGGGACCTCACCCCTGGTTGGCACCGAGCCTGCCACAGGCAGTCATGGAAGTGATAATCCACGACCTCATGAATGCCACTTGCGTGCCTAACCAACTGAGCTGAGCTGCTTGATTATCTTCTGCCCTTTCTTTCTTTTTTTTTTTTTCTTTTTTTTTTTAATAACGGAAATGATGATGAACTCAGCTGGATCCACGAGTACGCAGCACCGCAGGCCCATCTGTCCCTAGCGCAGGGGATGTCCCATAATGGGCCTTCAACTGGTACTTAGAAAAACGCTAAAGCAGTCCTGGCAAGTGGCACGGCATACAGGCTGGTTTGGATAACCGACACGCGGCAGGAAGGACCGGGTTCCTGGCTTGCAAGAAAAAAAAACGAAAACCGACCTTCAC